GGAAGGAATTCTGTTTATTAAATGTCATGGAATATAATTTCTTTTCCATGTTTATTCTGGCATTTATGGTGGTGGTGTTTTCTTTTTTGAAAAAAAAAATCCTTTTGAAAAAGTGTTGTGGCTGATTCAAGAGATTTTAAAGAACCTTTTAGTAATTTGTGGCCAAATTATTATTCTCACAACTTGTTACAGTGGCCTTTATTTAAAATGACAAATAGTTTTGAGATAACTGATTGATCATGTTGATCAAAAATAAAAGAAATAAAAATAAAATTTCTTCTCGCAGTACAATACAAATTATCATCCATAAATAATCCCTTATTAAGTCAATTCAAGCTTCGTTGAGTCTTGAACCTGAGCATATCTTAATTGGTTAAGACACCCATCTTTGATTGAAAGACGTGAGTTGGGAGCAACGAACAGAAAGTAATCCTATTATTTTTTGTTAAAAAGGAGTTGGAAGTTGTTTCAGGTCGTTTGATAATGTTTTCATTTCTTATTTTTGTGTTTCATTTTATAGAAATGTTTTTAAAATAATTTTAGAAACAACATCACCAAGTTTCCAAAGATATTTAATTTAAAATATTAGAAAACGAGAAATGAGAGAGTGAAAGAAACAAAGATATAAGAAACAAGAAATTGATCCAACGTTACCAAACAGATCCTTAACACTGTTTGGTAACTATTTGTTGTTTTTCGTTTCCAATTTTATTAAGAAACCTAGCATTTTGACAATATGTTTTTCTTGTTCTCAATTTTTCAAAAGTGTTTTCAAAATTGTATAAAAATCGTGAAAAAAAACAAAAACAAGTTTTTTTTTGTTTCGAATATGTTGCAAAACATAAATAAAATTTTATTATTTTATCATTATTGAATTAATGGGTGTTCAAAGCCATGGAAATATTTTTCCTTATAAAAAATGAGGAAACAAAAATAATAAACCAAAATGTTACCAAACATACCCTTAATTATTCAAATCGCAAATCTATGCAAGAAAGATTGAAGTAATAGAGGTATTACATGAGAAAATATTCGAAGAGGCAATTCATCGATCTTATTATCCCATCAATGTTAGAAAAGTTACAAGGAATCATAAAAGAGCCACGATAATTGCGTCGATCATAACGGTTAAAAGAATGATCGAAATGAGTTCAAACGAAGAAAAAATTATGTTGGACAGAATCGGATGAGTCATTTAGATCTTACCATTTAGATAATATTCAAAGCCAAAGTCATCAAAGCTTCATGTAAAAGGGATAAAAACTTAAGTTTTTATCTGATAAAGTTCATTTTACTTACCACCGTTATACAATTGTGAGCTATTTATTTTATTTTCTCTCTCTTCTTTCTTTATGTATTCATCTCTCTTGATTGACAATTTTTTTAATGATAATAAATAGGAAATAGAAAATACTAAAGATGGAATAGATTTGAGAGGCCTTTGAAATCTCATAACTGAGGCAAAGCAAATGGCCCAACGTTGTTGGCATCCGAAGTTTATTTCATTTTATTATGGGATTAGTACTTGATAGCCTATTTAAGAATCATAATTACATAAAATGATTGAAATGTATAAAATTTACACTTTTGTCATGAAACAATACTAATTAGGATGGTACCCATCACACAAATTACTAGTATATCATTTTAAGGATACACCTCAATATTAAATAACTTTTAAATCTAGAAATGGTAAATTGGGAGGTTATAATTTAAATAACTTAAAACGTGTTTAATTATACTCTCCAAAATTAAAAAATCTCAAAACCTGAAAAATCTCCAAAACCATCTATTTTTGAAACCCCTTTCTTATTCCTCTAACCGTCCGTTTTTCTTCCTCTCCGACCGTCCATTCTTCTTCTCCGACCGTCTGTCTCTGTCTGCCTTCCTCTTCGGCCGGCTCCGTTTTTCTCCGTCACCCGTATTTGTTTATCCCCTTCGAAAGGAGATTTGCATCTTTCCTTCTTCTCCGGTCGTTTATGCTTGCCTTCGTCTTCGACTGATGTCTACCTGCCTTCATCTCCGGTCGCCTCAATTTTTCTCCGTCGCCAGAGCAGTTCATCTCCGTTTATTCCGATTGAAAGGTTTGCATTTTGAATTCTGATTGAGGATATATATTATAATGAGTTTGATTAAGATATGTCTTATAACTCAACTTGTATATATGCGGATATGAGGATATATACTATAATGATTTTGAATGTATATATGCGGATATATAAGTGGATATATCTTATAACTCAACTTGTATATATGCGAACATGCGGATATACTATAGTGATTTTGAATGTATATATGTGGATATATAAGTGGATATATACTGTAATTTTGAATATGTGGATATATAAGTGGATATATACTGTAATTTTGAATATGTGGATATATAAGTGGATATATACTGTAATTTTGAATATGTGGATATATGTTTATTGAGACTTCAAAAGATGTTTCTATAATTTTGAATTGTCATTGAAGGTTGAGCACCAATGTGGGAGTGAATTAAGGGAAAATCAATGAGTAAATTAAGGTTTTAAAGGAGTAAATTAAGGGATTTGTGTTGAAAATTAGTACGGGACCAACAATAATTAAAGGATTATGATAATAATTTATGGAATTAAATATTTTATATTAAAAAAAACAAATAACTACAATAAATGTAAATGCAATTAATAAGGGCAAAATCGGAATTAAAACAAAATCCTACATGCAGAAATCTAAAGTGTAAAATTATAAAAGTTTAGACATTTGTGTAAATAAGTTTCTAAAACAGCCCTCCGAAGACATTATCTCTTTTATATGGGAAGAAGTGTATTAGAAAATGACCTTTTTGGGAATGTTTCTGTTTCTTCTTTATAGTTTTTTCACGAGAAACTTAAGAATTTGACAACTATTTATATTTCTTTTTTCTTACTTTTTTTTAGAAACCTTCTCAAAATTGTATATAAATTTTTGAAAAAAAAAAAACAAAACAAGTTTCTTGGGTAGATCATATGGCAACACTATACAGGGTTCACTAGGGTTGTTTACCAACTTTTCAATTTTAAAAAAGAATTAAAAAAAATAACAAGCAATGGTAAAAATCCTAAGTAATTTAAATGCATAAATGAAAGAGAGCAAGAGAAGTTAACATGCGGAAATTTAAAAGTAGAAAAAAGAAATGACACCATGAATTTTCATAGTGGTTTGAAATTTCGTACTCCGCTCCTAAAACTTATTTCTTAGGTATTTTATTGTACCGACTCTCTTACGTGTGAGAACCAAACAAATCGATCACTCTTGTTACAAGTTCAAGAGTAAACTTCATACCAATCCTTTTGTAGGTTTAGGATCTAACCTACATTGATCTTTCTCCTTAAATCAAGATCAAAATACTACGACCATTTTCATTAGTTCAACATCAAATCAATCTCACAATTCCAAGGTATACTCATGTCTTAATACAAAATCTCAAATGATCTAAAAATAAAGAATACAAAAGAAATACCTCGGTAAGGTGGATTTACACAAATTTTACACCTAAAACTATGACTAAGCTTACAATCTAATGTATGTCTCACAATAACAAAAATTGACAAATTTTGATACGAGAGAATGATAATTAGAGATTTGGAGCAAAAATTGAGAAAATAAAAACTTATTTTTGCTTTAGAAATTGGCGTGGAAGAGAATAAATTGGTGACTTTTAAATATAATTTCGAGGATGAAATTTTGGGTGGTGGAGATTAAAAGTCTCACTAAGGAAAAGTGAAAAAGAACAATTTTGGTGATTGGGAGAAATTTTTTAGATTGAGAAAAAATTGTGAAGATTGTTTATTCTGAATTAATTTAAATTTGCACGTGTCATCCTCCCACTCGTTCGATCAGTTGGAGCTCGTCACCTTGCCACATGGCGTCACATGATTCGTCCATGTTGCAACAGCAAATACATGTACCCTGAAGTCACATCATCCACCATGTCGTATGCCACGTCAGCACGTTTGCCATGTGTCAACTTTAGTTTGATCCATTTGTCCACATCATCAAGCCACATAGGATTTTACTTCTCAATTTTGTTTTGGTCATAACTCCTTTGTTGAACTCGGATTCGAGCAATTCAAAAGGCGTTGGATTTGTCTTTCCAAGCTATACGCTATGTACACTTTGAAACACTAAAATTGTCAATAAATAAAGTTTGTTATCATTAAAACATATAGTATATATGATTGAAGCTCGTAAATACTAAAATCTTGTTTCTTATCTCATTTCCAACAAAATTAAGTTTACTTCTTGTTTCAATGAAAAAATAAACAACACCAAATAGTTACCAAATACTTTAATGTTTTTCTTTATTAAAAAAGAAACAAAAACAATAAATAAGAAACAAAAACGTTGCTAAACGAGCCATTAGCATATCCGAAGTCCCAACCCTTACTAAAGACAAATTAAGAGCCTTTCTAGTAGTTTTCTTAAGCTTTATTCCTTCTTCAACTGTGGTAATAGGTTCACAATTACTAGTGAATAATAGTCACGGCTCCAAGTCCCGACATGGTAATAATTATATACTTTATATATCATTAAGAAACGTACCATATTACTCAAACCAAAATCTTCATTCTCAGGAAGATTTATCATTAACATAGGCAATGTAAACGAAATCATTTATATATTTGGTATAATTGATATACTTTATATCATGTATATCAACAATATTAATGATATACTTCATATTACATATATTGATTTTTATAACGAGCATAGAATTGGAATAACAAAAAAATTAAAATGTAATTTAAAAAATTTACCCTATTTATAAAAGCAAAAAGGCGGTGATATGTTTATAGATTTAAAAAAAAAAAATGTTTTTGCATCCCATTAAAAATACTCTTATAGATTTTGTAAAAGAATTCGTTGGACAGATGTGAGATCCGACGAGGTCACTATTATTGGATGACCGCAACTTCGAGATATCGCATGTAATTTCCGTCTGTCTAACTCGTGTTTGACAAAAACCTAGGCTGTTTTTTTATTATTTTTTTTTTATTTTTCAAATGGTCCCCATTCAATTATATTTTGTAAATTCTGTTTCCTAATTTATTCTCTCTTTATCCTACTTCTACTCCATCGCATGCCTCGCAACAAAATTATCAATTCTATTATTTTACAATTGAAATGACAATATTCAAATTATGCTCATATTAAAGGCTCATTTTTGTTTTCAGAATATAAAGATCCATACAACCAAAGTGTACATTGGAAAAATGAGATTTTGCATGCTTTGCTCTTGGTTAAAATGAATAATTTTATCTATGAACCATACGTTTAAATATTCCTACATCATATAGTTAAAAAAAAAATGAAATGAGATTTCTAAAATTTAGTCCAGAAATATTTTATGCATTTATATTGATGAATGAAGTGGCAAAAAAAACAGTATGGAATTACGTTCTAATTTCTATCCTTACAATCCATCAAATTGATATTATGTAACCTTTACAATTTAATGAAATTTTAACCCAAATTTCAAAATATCTAAAATAATAATAAATAAATAATGATTAAACAAAAAGAATACGTAAAATTATATAATATAGTGAAAATCGCATACTAGCAAAGTATGAAACTGATGTATAATGTATGTATGCGATTTTATAGATCCATGTCATACTTGACACGTATATCGCTTACGTCTTTTGACCAACACGTAAGCTATTTTTGTTAGGATACCTACCTTAATTTTGATTTTTTTTATTTAATTTACATTTATTTTGTTATTATTTTGAAATCTACATTAGTTTTATAATTTTTTTTAAACTACATTATTCTTAAATTCACCCCTACTACTTGCATAATAAATATTAAAAGAATCAAATGTTTCTTTTGGATCAATCTTTCCTTCAACTAGTTGAACCATTCAGGGCTTCTCTTCCATCTATTTGCTAAATTAAATTTCAAATGTAACTAGTACAATAATCTCAAATTTTTTAATTCGTTGCTAAAATCAACCAGACATTAAATTCTGATTTGATAACGATTTCTATTTTTTGTTTTCTATTATTTCTAAAACTTTATGCTTACTTCCTCAATTTCTTTGGTATGTTAAGTCACTTTTCTTTAAAATGCGTTTGAAGTCTTAGTAGATAAATTTCAACAAAAACAAATTTTCAAGAACTATTGCTTTTAGTTTTCAAATTTTGTTTTCGATTTTAAAACGTTTTTATAAAATAAACAACAAAACAAATAAATACATCGGTAGAAGTAATGTTTATACGCTTAATTGTCAAAACTAGAAACCCTTTAAATAAAATGGTTGTCAAACAGGGACCTAAGTAATTCGCTTTCATACCGTTATTACTGTCTAAGAATAATAATAACATGAGCACCACACAAACTATGAAGCAAACAAATTCACATACTTCAAATAGACCAAAGTAGATGTTTCCGGTTGTAAATTTTGATTAGGAGGCAAAGAAGAATTTATTGACTATACATACCTGGGAAGGCTTTGTATCAATAAATCATTTATCGAAGCAGGAAACGCGTTCCGAAGAACCGAGAGCCTTTATCTTGAGAAGCCACTGGTTAAGGTATGTGCAGAGTTCCGAGGTGAGACTAGTTTAGACTATACATATCGTGTCATTGTCATCTAACCGAAGCCATTCTATTGAAGGACATCATTTCGTTTTCATGCGCAATTCTTTCTACTGGAGAAATCACCTGTGGCATTGTCATTCCTACTGAAACTATGATCTCTGCATCAAATTCAAGGCAAATCAAATAAAAGCCTCAGAAAATTCATGCTTTGATGTATAACAAAATGGAGAGTTTTTACTGAAGATGAAAATTCTAGCCCAATCAAGATCTCTAGCAAATATTGGAGCCTGCATCCATTTTTTTCTTTTCTTTTTTTTTTTTAATAAGAAACTGACCTTTCATTGAAAAAAATGAAAAGATTATACAAAAACAAGGAGGGTATACAAAAAAACAGCCCTACAAAAGGAACTCCCGAAGAAACGGGCTCCAATCCAAAAGAATGAGACCTAACTGATAATTACAAAAGGCCTTAGTGATCGAACCCCATAAAAGAAGTATTAAACCTAATGAGGTCCCAAACATAATCCAAAGATTTTCTCCATCCCCTAAATAATACATCCAATTGAATATATCATTCTGTCAATGATTACAAAATAATTCCTACTTTCGAAAGATGGACACAAGGCTAGTCTAAAATAGAGAAAAATAGCATACAAGAAAGCACTTACCAATTAGGAACTAATTACAAATAAGGCAATAAAATACAAGAAATAACCATCAATATAATTTAACACATTCAGCTCCTTGAGGTTTACAGGAGCTTTGTTCAAGGATCCTCTAATTAAAGGGTAATGTCTTAACTTTCATTATCAAAGAAATGGGAAGTAGAAACAAAAGGCAAACTAGTGATGGCACCAATGTGTACTTTTCTTCATATCGAGGTTTAAGTGAAGAACGGTTTTAATTTTATTTGGCGCATCAGTTTTAAATCAAGACCAAATAAAAAACCCAAAGCATTTGCTCTACACCATTTTATAATGAGCCATGGACATGAGAAAGAATATCTTCTCATTAATATTTCTCAAAATAAAACACTGACCTACTGCTTCTCGGATAGACAAATTTGGTCTTATAATATCTTCTGAATTAATAAGAAAAACGTCGCCAATGTATAGATGATTTGTGGGCACATAAACGCTGCATAGCTCTTCATATCCATTCATCTGTCATCATCAGTCAAAATCAATATAGCAGAACTGATAACAGAGTCATGTACAGATATCCTGAGCAAAAGAAAATTTACCAATTCATGTTATAGTAATAACAGTCAAGTCTTTTGATGTCATGAATTTGTTAACACAAGGGTGACAGAGTTTCATAGTTAAAATCATAGAACCGTAGCACCCATGAAGAACTGGCAGAAACCATTATGAAATTTAACTGATTGGACATACAAAATACCTGAAGGACAACCGATGAGGTAATAAAACCAATTGCATATTCACCAATTCTTGGATGCCGAATAATGGCTACCTCCTTAAATGCTGTTGTGGTTTGGTCTGTACAAAAGGAAATAAAAGATAGAAAGGAATCTCTTTATGAGCTAAACCTCCTTATAATGCTGACGTTTTAACACAATCATCGTATTAAAGCTGGTCAACAATTAGAAAAAATAAAATAAAATCACCACAAAACACAAATTTTACATTTATACTAGATTTTCATAAATCATACTAAGCTACAAAGGCTTATGTAGCTCTTAGAAGAAAATGGTACCAAGATAGTCAAACAAGTAACAATAACTGTAATGCAACTATGAGGTAAACCACTACATAAAGAAACTACAGAAGATAGCCAATACGCAGGTAAAGACTAACAGCCTAATGAAAGAAACATGTAATCTAAAATCACCAAACGCAAAAATTTGAAGCAATCTTGACTGTGTAAACGGGGAACTTTTTACTGACAATCCGTTTTCCTGTAAGATTCTGAATAGGCTTTCAAGTTATTTAGGATTTTCTCATGACAAATAACCAAAGGGCACGATATTTTGGCAGCTGGTATTATAGGAAATTCAAAGGAAGCAAATTAGATTTAAGAATCTCTTTTTATTGAAGAGAGGGAGAGACTCTGATCAAGTCACCCCATACTTCCTCCTACGTTTTGAAGCACCAGCTAAGGTTATCTGCGGACTTTAGAAGACGTTTCCAACTTTTCTCTAGGAAGGTACTGAAGCTAAAAGGAGGAGCTTGTGCAATAAATTGGAAAGAGGTAACTAAACTGATTCGCAATTCCTTTACCAAGAATATTGCTTCACTTCCTAAATGATTGATGCATTTTCTGCCCTAAACCAGCTCTTTGGCACCATGTAATTAAAAGCAAGTATAGCACCATTCCTACTGGTTTGTTAAAAGAAAATTCCTGTTCTTAATCATCAAGAAGCCCACAGCTTTCTACAACCAAATGTCTGAAACACAAGTTTCAAGATATTGTTTTCAAATATGGTAATCAGATTAGATTAAGGCATCCAGACCCTTAAGTTTCAGATATCCCTCTTCAGCAGTAGTTCCTGGACGATATTACAAAAGTGTGAGATGCTCAATTTGATTCAGGAATTGATAACTGGGCTATCCTTTCTACATTAATTTAAGACTGCTAAGTGAATCCAATGGCTCTAGAATCTGGAACAGCCAAATCTGAGGACTTTTTCTGTTAAAACAGGCTATTCTTTCTGGGACTTTTGGCTAGAAATAAACTCTTAAGATTTTTAAGGAAACTAGTAAAATCAAGGGTGAAATCAAAGATTATATTCTTTCTTTGAAGCATTTAAATGGTCTTCCCTATGCAAGAATTTTTGTAGTCATTCCTATTTTTCTAATTTAGAACAAATGGACAACTTTGTGCAATCTTCTTAGTTTTGGTTGAAGATCCTTATCCCCTGATTTCTATTTTTTATTTGTTTTAGTACATCAACTTTTCATTCAGAAAGAATGTCTAGATGAATGGAAAAAGTCATGAAGAAGAAGAGAGCTGCCATTTTGGAGATTTGCAAACAATGGCAAGGTTATGGCGACCCGTGATGGGATACAACGACTGGAGATAAGAAGTTGGCAGTGGTGGTTGGCGTGGAGGTGTGCCAACACTGGCAAGGTTCACTGGAGGAGAGGAAGAAGAAGAGAGGATGGAGAAAGGAAGCCCCGTGAGCCACAAGTATTATTAAATTAACCTTTTTTGATGAATCACAAAAGAACAGTTAGCAATTTAACAGTCACGTCAACTTCTCATTAGTCAACAAAGGATCAAATGAACTTAGAGGCCATTTAGAATCATTTACCAAACCTCAAGGACTAAAAGTGTCTTTTTTGAAATTTTAGAGACTAAATAGACACCAATTTCTAGGGACAAAAATAATATTTTACCCTACTTTATATGTTGGATGAAACAAAGATACTATCAACTTGCATAATGGGATTGGAAAAAGCAAAAAGTGGGATGAAGATTGAATATTTTCCCCTACTTTATAAGTTGGATGAACCAAAGATACTATCAACTTGCATAATGGGATTGGAAACAACAAAAAGTGGGATTAGAGATGAAATCTTCATCCCGTCTATATGAGAATTTCTATTCCTAGTTTTGGGAATCAAGGAATCCACTAGTATCAGAGATTAGCTTCTTCTTCGTTGGGGAGCACTTTCTATTTATTTTTAAGTATAATTATTTTGTTTGGATATGGTTTTAGACTTTAGTTCATGAAATTTATTCATTTCTTGTTTTGGTACATAAGAACTTTTAAACTCTTATTTTTTCGTTACTGAACTTGACTTCAATTATTGTCCCAAAATTTTTATCATTTTCTATTTTAGTCCCTACATTTTTAAAACCTCAAGTTTAATTCCTTCATCTTTGGATGCATTTGGTGTTTAGTTGGCCCACAGCTGTTCTTGAAAGCCTATGTTGGAGGACGTTTCTTATTCAATCCCCTTTCGTGATAGAAGAGCTTTTCTCTGGCAGGTAGCTTTCTTACAACTTTAGGGAAATATGAAATATATCTGCTTGAAAGAAACAGGAGGATCTTTAGTGATGAGAAAAGTTCTGGAGAGGGTGTTGGGCCTTGGCAAGATTCATAATGTCCCTTTGGCCCTGTTACTAAGGACTTTAGCAATTATCCCTTATCCCTCATTCTTTTTAATTGGAGTCCCTTGTAATTAGGTTTTTCTAGGTTGTGCTAGTATTTGTGACTCCTTGTTTGAGCGCTCTTTTTGTTTTTTGTATTGTCTTCTTGTATTCTTTCATTTGTTCTCAATGAAAGCAGAAAAATTAACCTCCAAATTAAATCATTGTTGTAAATTCCTTCTAAATTGCTAAATACATTCATTAAGCATAATTATTTTCCGTATCATCACTTTTCAAGCATGGACTAAATGGGGAAAATAATGAAAGCTAAAAGGTGTAAGACCAAGGTTAAGGTTTTGAAAATTGAGAAGCAAAAATGAAAATTAGATAAAAGTTCGAGAAAAAATTTGAGATTTCAGAAACTCAATGATCAAGTAAGAACTTGGTAAAAATTTAGAGATCAGAACTCTATGTAAACATAACTGCTCCTATAAGTAAATAAAGAAATCAAATATTAATTAATTAATTAATTAATTAATTAAATACAATTTTCAGGCTCAAAACTGGAGGGACAAAAAAAAGAACAAGTTTTTTTTTTATAGTTCAAATAAATAATTTTATGAAAATACGTACCCAAATGCATACAATTTTAGGCTAAGGTAAGGTAATCATTTAGTATATTCTCAATACTCTCTCCTACATCTGAGCTGAGATATTCATCAAATTCATTAAGTGCATGCAGTTAAAAATTTATTGCAAATTTGAACCAAATCATTATTGAGGGAAGTAATAATATTACAAGGATTAAAACTTAAGACCTCTTACTCTAATATTATTCATGAGATCCACAAGATTAATATTTTAAATAATTGTAAATATAATGGTAGGGATGAGATGATTCAGGGGGTAGGGGGTTGCATACCCACAATAAAATAAATTGAGAAAATAATTTCTCATTTTGCCTTCTATCATTTAAGATATAAATTTTCATCCTATTAAGTATGGCTCCTTATATGCAATTTTGTCATCCCTAATAACATAAAGGTAACATTTGATGTAATTTTTATAATCCATACTTCAGCCACGTATAAGTCATGTATCTTCTTTGACATCATCTTCTTCCTTAACTAGCATTATATTGCATATAAACCAAATTATATAAAATTTAAAGGTACTAGGATTAAAATAGTAAAAGGAAGTTAAGGAACAGAAAAGTGGATACTGTAAAGCAATTGTGCATCATAATTTTAATTGATAAAATCAAGAAAGTATAAAAAAAATAGAAATGCGATTAATGCAATTTTTAGTGAATCTTTGATTAAAAAATAATTTCCAGGATACATCAAAAAACAAAAACATATGAGTTACCTGGAGAAATAGCTGCACTAATCTGTTTGGAGGCTGAGTAAATGTGCTTTACAAAGGGCATTTTTTTTATGAACCATTCTCCTAGCCAGAAAACAGTGGCACCCATCCACGATGAAGCAAATAAACCAACAAAAAATATAAAAGTCAAAGATGTAACAAATCCTAGACCTGCAACAGGAAGCATTCGTTTAATAAGGATATCGCTATTTAAAAAATAAGTGGTGAAGTTAGCAATCTATATATGAAAACAAGAGATTAATCTGAAGCAATAACTTCTAGTGAAAATAAAATCGTCTGACAAAGCCTAACTACAGGTCATGTATGAAAGCTTGGTTTCGAATTAAAATAAAAAGGATAGGTCATGTAGTAAAAATATCCAATTAGGTAGAAGCATGAAAATCCTTGTGAAAACCATATCTATCTAAAAGCTCAAAGCCATAAATATGTTTCTCGGCCTTTTGGCTAAGATCAAGTGTAGTATTTGTTCTTATCTAAAAGCTCAGAACCATAAGACTTTAAAATATGTACACACAACTTATATCCACTATTTCTCAAGTTCCTCGATCTTGCCATCCTAATCTTGATAATATTCTTTATTAAAATTTACATGTAAACTAATAAACAATGGATGAATATATTCTAGATTAGATCTTACAATAATGATGACAGCAAGCTCATATCATAACATAATCATCAATCACCTTTATGGATCTTAGTAACCATCTGGTGTAATTAGTAGTTGCCTTTAAAGTTCGGTTAATTAGCTTTTGTTTTAAAGTTTATGTGTTAGTAGTTTTAGTTTTACCCCACGGTAACTTGGTTATTCTAAAGCTAAGAATCCTATAAATAGGATTCAGCTCTTTCAATGAGAGGTATCATTCCATTCTTTCAAACAAGATTCTAAAGACTACATCGCCATCATATTGCAAAGTGTGTGATAGAACGAATAGTGAGTAAATAAATGTAAAAAGTCAACAAAAGTATTTGTGAAAACACCAGAACTTAACCAACAACAATGAAGCTGGAGCAAGAGAAACATACCAAATATGTTTATGCCAAGCCTGGCATATAACGGGCTAAAGAAGCTATCAACAAACTGGATAAACCACCATGTGATGAAGAATGTAATGGCAACAGGAAACAGAACCACACTGCAAGTTCATCATTTATCAAAATCTTGTACAGTAGGAATAGAAGATCTAGAAATTGATATAAATGATAGCCAAAAAGCAGTAGGAAAGGCTCTTTTAATGCTGATTACCATCCAGTCATGAACTTCTTTGAGACCCAACTCTGAAGAACAGCATAGCAAGCCTGAAAAAAATCCAATAATTGACAGGGTTGATTTGAAAAACCAATTAATTTTTAAAATAGTCCAGAAAAATATAATTTCCTTTAGCTGGAAAACATGAAATACCAGGTGGATAATAGTAAAATAAGGGAACCATAGCTTGTAAACAACCCTCCCAGTTCTCTTTAGCACCAAGGAAGGCCCAAAAAATGTAGGGGCCAGTCTTTCATTTCACCTTTTCTCTACTAACTTCTGTTAATAGGGTTGTATCTTCTAATACACCATATTACCAACATGGAATTGTCACTCCCGAAATACTTGTCGGCACTAGCCTTCATAATCTTGACCATGCATCAATTGGAACCATGGGTCACTCTATAGGACACCTCTTTCATATAGTAGTTGATTCAATGGAAGAAATTAAAGTAGAAGATTGCCACCCTCTTATCACGGGAGGTGGGGGTAGCCATGGAATGATTGGAAGAGGTTGCCTTAGTGGGAATGTGGTAGGATGTATTATACCAAAACCTAGTCCACGACATCCAATTTGTTCATCTACCTGGATTATACATAGCAAGACAACAGAAATTACATCTTCAAACAAGAGTTCACCACCTCTAGTTAGCTGTCAGTTTGGGGGTGGTATGTTCTTGTACTCCACTAGAGTATTTCAACAGCTCCTCCAAAATTTATTCATAACCACATAATCATGATCAGATACAATGGACTGGGAAACCCTGTACAAGCAAATGCTTTCCTTACTGAACAACTGGGCTGTGGAAAGAGAACAATATCCTTCACTTCTAGTTTTGGTAAGCCATCAAACGTCCATGGCTATGTAGTCCCAGGGCAGCTTCATGGGGAGACGTTAGAGTGAGCCAGTAGATCAATGGCAAAGTGCTTGCTCTTCTGGTAAACATCGTATTCCTGTCACAAACTTCTACGTCTTGAGTTCCTGCATGAACTCCTACCAAATTCGATCCTTAAGGAAGGTTCAGCTTAAATATCCCTTTTGGAAAAACCAACCATACTTTGTTGTCTATTTAAAAATGGGGATTGTATGAATGATCCCCTTTCAACACAGCTTCTTTGACTTTAGATAGGGAAGGGTCCCCCTCTATTGTTTGCTCAATTTTTGCAAGTTACATTTCAACCTTCAGAGATTACTATTATAGATGCTAAGGTACCTTAACAGGAAGTTTCAAGAGGTGTCCTTATTCCATTCAAGGAGTAAATTCTAGAACAGTTTCTGGTCAAGGAAAATGAAAGTAGTTATTCAAATTCAAACATTGTTTGATAGTTTGAAGGAGGGTTTGGATGTTGAAGCCACATATGCACAAATTTAAACAAGCAAGAGCCCTATTTCAAAAGAAAAGTTTCACGAACGAATAGGACATAGTCAAACACAATTCTAGGACGTCTAGTGACAACAGAATTTTGGAATACACTGAAGATACATAGTTTACCAATAAGGGATGCACATGCACCGCAAAGTTTCCATCCATAATGGGAATATCAAAAAGAGGGGCATCATCAATAAATTTATTGAAGACTTCGTAGTAGAAACTTCCAAGAGATTTCCAAGATACCGATCAGGGGAACCTTCAGAAGGGACTTTGATTGTTGCTAGACTCACACCATTTATTTCAAATTTCCCCTTCTCTGAAGTACTTAAATAAGTAAACTATTGTTCCTAGAGATATCGCCGCATCAAAAAGGGATTCCCTAAGTACCCATCACCAATCAAAGACTGATTGCTTTTCTTTCGACTAAAATTGCCCTTCACAGCTAGAACAAAACCTAGATAGCTCCATCAATGAAGTAACGCTAACCAGAAAAGATACATACATGATGATGGAGAAGAGTAAAAAGCTGGGAAATGAAAGAAAATGGAGTTGGGGTACCTTGCGAGTGGAGGAATTAGAAAAAGTTGGAGGGGACTTTGGAGTATCATCGTCGGGATCGGATTCGATCATCGGAGTGGAGGTGGATTCTCTGGTGTCCGCCATTGAAGACTGAGATACAAATTGTTGGCGTTGGCGGAGCGGTCGTTCTCTCTTCAATTCCGTTCCGATTTTCTTTCTTCCAAAGTCAAAAAGTCAACCGACCAGAAAAAAAGCCGGCAAAATGAAAATACCAACCGATTCAGTTTAGAATAACTTAGTTATTGACTGATCGAGGTTATGAATTTAAATATTTCCATTAATTTTTATAAACTTTTTTAATTTACGCCAAATTTTGAAAATAAAAATAAAGGTATCTATTTTTTTTTTATTTTGTTACGAATTCGATTTTGTTTTTAGGAAAGGTGAAAACTTACCAATGAAATTGAATCAAAACATACCCAATTTCTTTTTAACAAAAAACATAAAAGTAAAAGCAAGATGGCTTATTTATTTTAGTTTTTTATTTCTAAAAATTACATCTGAAACCACGCTCCAAGGAGTTTAGGTGAGATATATATTAGACTATATATTGCCATTTTCACCCTAAAGTTTTCCCTTACTCCATTGGAGCACCAAAATTTAGTGGAGGATGAATAGAAATTTATTCGTGGGGTCTTTTTGATATGAAATTGATATCAAAATCTATTAGTTAATTACAAGTGACAAAATGACTAGTATGGATTTTTCTCTGGTATGCGTTCTTCACCCTTGTTAAAACATACATTTTGGGAATCTTAGTTGAATTTAGAAAATAAAAAACTAGTTCATCAACTTTAGATTTTGAGAGTATTTTTAAAAATTAGACAATCAAATAAAGGAATATATAGGTGTAAGAAAATATTCATCAACTCAAACCAAGAATACTAAAATAGTTGAGAATTTATTTTCTTTCACTTATTTGTTCTTATTAAGAATAGTTAGTTAGTTTTTTAAATATTTGGTTACTATTATATTCATTAGTTCGTTTGTAAATTGTCATTTAGCTCTGGCTTTTTATTGTTCTATTTTTCATTCAATTGATGTATAAATAGGTGGACTCTGCTCTGTAAAAGGTTAATGGAAGTATTACTTCTTCACAGCTTTATCTCTTACATTTAATGTGGTATCATTGGTGATTCTTGATATTTCCTCTCTTTCTTTAATTTTTTGGACTTTTCCCTGTCATAGATATGTTTGACGAAGTTCTTCATCCTGATCAAGTTCATGTTTCTTCTCATCTTCGACCTTCTGTTGTTCCATCACCTTTTGCTTGCTTCTCTTCATCGATTCCTCCGACCAATATAGAAGCTTATACAAACCCTTATTTTCTTCAACGTAATGATAAAGGTTTGGCTCTCGTTGTTGAGCTTTTTACGGAGGACAATTATGTGTCATGGAGTCCATCTACGATGGAACTGATCAAATCTCAAATCTGTGTGCTACAAAACAATTTCTGCTTTCACAATTCTATGCAGCAAAATCATAATCGCACGACACAAATAATTTATACTGTTCACCCCAACAGTTTATGAGGTACGTTCAATCTTATACGCTCAAATGCGGATTCCACTATAATCATGAGGGGATCGAATCCCACAGCAGAAGCACGTGAACGTGTGTGCTTCGATCTCGTTTTGGAAATACAACAAAGAAAATACAAAAGCATGATTAAAAGGAAGTAGACTTTCCTCGCTATCTGGATCTTAAGAACTCAGTTTGTGGGAACCATCTTATAATTGAGACGGAGATCGAGAGATCGAGAGAAAGATTTTTTCGTTGGAGTTTCGGAAACTCAATCAATAGACAACCGGGGAACTGAAAAAAAAAAAAGAGAATCTCCCTTTTATAAGGGGGAAGAGTGAGGGGGAAGTCACACTCATCACCTCCCCACTTCCCACCTTGAGAATCATCTCCCTAGCATCAAGCTACTTCCAGGAATTAATTCCCTAAAATGAAGAACAAACATGGTTAGTGGCCCCTAAATCCAGTATTCAAGTAGAATTATCATTTTCCACTAAGCAAGTTTCAAGAATAAGTAAATCATATTTACCTTCTTTGACTTTCTTCATTTCGGCCAAGTATTTTTGGCAGTTTCTTTGCTAGTGCCCATCCATGTTGCAATGGAAAAATTTTCCTTTGTCTGCAACTTTGGTCTTGCACTTCTTGGCAGCAGTAGGGTCAGCTTTAGGCCTCTTACCACTATTCTTCTTCTTCTTGAAAGTCTTACTTCCAGAAGAAGAATGCACAGATTTGGTTCCTAAGGTCCAACCTCGTTGGAACTGTTTTGAGGAGACAACGTTTGCCTCCCCTTCATTTCCCTTATTTTTCATAAGAGATTGAAAAATCTGCAGCTCATTCAAGAGCGTGGTAAGGTTGTATTCTATATTGTTCATCATGGCATTACTGCGGAACTGTAGGAAACTCTTCAGAAGAGATTCCAAGATAAAGCTGACTTGACTTCCCTTGTCTATGACAGCCCCATTCACTTCAGCCACATTAAACTGGACCATCAAATTGAGAACATATTCTCGAATTGATGTTCCCTCTTTCATGCTGGAAATGTAAATGAACTTGAGAGCATCGTGTCAGGCTTGAATGGACGGTTGTCCGAACATGTCCCGCAATGAGTCCATGATCTCCCTTGCGATGACCATGATCTCATGCTTCTTGGCCAGCACATCGGATATGCTTCCCAAGATGTAGATCGTGGTCTTGTCATTGTCCTTGATCCATCTGTCATAGGCGTCCGATTGGCTTGGGCTGCATTAGACGTGGGAGCCTGAGGACACTCATCAGTTAAGACGAATCTAAGATCATCTACCACAAGTATCATGTTAAGGTTCGTTTAACATTATGTGTAATTTTTGTTGTTAATTTTTTCGGCGGCAAGCAGGACAATAGATTTAGATATGCTGAAATACAAACAAATCCATATTAGACACTTGCACTACCTATTAAAACTCAATCAATTTTTTAGAAAAAAATAATAATGCACCCTATAATCAAGATTATTTTTGCAACGATGCTTCAATGATTTAGAGCAATAGCTACCGTGGGGCAGTCAACTACTCCTTCATTGAATTAAGACATTCTCAACTAAATATTACACCAAAATAACTTTTATTCCTACAACAGTTAGTCATCCTTTGTTTGGTTAAAAAGTTATTAACTAACTTAACAACTTCCCACAAGTGTGACCCACCATTTTCAGACCCCATAGGTCCGCCCCAATAAGCCTGCCGTAAAGAAGGACAAATATTGGTGCAAAACCTAAGAGACCTTACCCATTTATGGAGTTCGCCCTGATTTTGATTCCATACATCAGACCCTCCGTAGGGGTGGTTGTTCTAGGACGACAAGCAGGTCGTGTACGAAACCTCACGTTGCAAACCAATGGAGGAGACCGTAGGATGTGTTGTCACACATCCTTCTCCCATTTACTATAAATACTTTCTCTATTCACCTTGGTATTAAACCATGCAAACACCTTCCGTAGGGAGGCCGCGCCCAAGGCTACACGAGGCCGAGCATGGAACTCACGGTGTGAACTTATACGGAGAACATGAGGGAAAGAATGTATATATATATACCACATATATCTCATATACTTGGTATATTTTATATATACACCTAATCCTCCCACTTAGTATTTTAAAATTAGGGTTTATTACTTAGGTAAAATCCGACTAAATGAAATTATCTAAGTTTATTAGTTTGTCCAATATAACTTTTATATTGGATTTGTTTAACACTAATGTTTTAGTTCATTGAACACTTTAACGAACTAACCACATTATCGCATTCTATAAAATATTAACTAATTCAACCTCCAGGTTGGTTCCCACGTATAGTTGTTCCCTTAGGGTCAGCTTAACTACCTCAACCTAGATAGAACCTTCCTTATACAATGTTCCCTTATAGACAATATTTTATATTAACATTTTATTTCGTCGTTTTAAATCTATTTAAAACCAAAAATAAAAGTATATAACTTAAGGTATAATTAATTTCAAACCCCTTTAAAATTAATTATTAAAGACCTAGAGTTTGCATGCAACTCTTGATTATAGACTTTAATTTCTATTCACCAAACTTATAACATTTATAAATTTAAATGCAATGACATACATAAATATAATATTTATATTTACTAAAGTAATATCATGTTCAATGCAACTTTATTAACATCTAATTAATACAACACTTATATTAATTAATTATGAAAATAGATTATGCTATCGTACATTATAACTATTATATATATATGATGCATGAATATGCTTAACCTATGATGGGATTTTAATCTATATGACATACTTTATGCAACATATATAATTGATTAAGTATACCTTCACAATGCATAATAAATAAATAGCAAAATAGACCGGTCTTTGGCCCATAAGAAATGAAACAAAGCCAATATATATATATATATATATATATATATTTCTTTTCTATTTTTTCTTTTTTTCTCTCTCGGTGCCTAGACTCCTGAACCCAGAGCCTAGGCGCTGCCGCTTCTACTGCAAGCCCGAGCTCTCGGGTTTCTGCAGTTTTGGCAGCGGCTAAGCGCTTAGCCCCACTACCCAGCTCCTAGGCGAGGCGCCGACCCCACTGCCTAGGAGTTGTTCGCCCGATTTCTTCGATTTTTCTTCACTTCTATAGTACTCTTTCACAGTAGCTCCTTACTACAAATGACACGGACTTACAAACTTGATTTCCAGGATTAAACAACCAAAACAATGGGCCTTTACATTGATCGAATGAACGAAAAAACTGTAAATCTAATGCCAAAAACCGAAAACATCTATTTGCAAACCACATACATCAAATGTAGAGACAAACACCCACCATACTTTTCTTTGTAATTCAGAACAAGATCGAAAGCAGAGTCTAGGCTCTGATACCAATTGAAGGGATCGAATACCACAACGGAAGCACATGAACGCGTGTGCTTCGATCTTGTTTTGGAAATACAACAAAGAAAAGACATAAGCATGATTAAAAGGAAGGTAGTGAAACATACCTTTGAAGACACTTCTTCAATGTAGACACCAATGCCACTAAAAGACTTTCCTCACTATCCTCTAGATGTTAAGAACTCACTTTGTGGGAACCGTCTTATAATTGAGAGGGAGATCGAGAGATCGAGAGATAGATTTTCTTGTTGGAGTTTCGGAAACTCAATCAACCGATGATCAGG